CCTTACTGGCTTGGTAGCTTGATTATACAGCCGATAATGGTGAGCAGCTTTCCCTTGAGCCTGATTGAAATGATAAGATACACAAAACGGTTAGATGAAAATTGAAATCACACAACACTTTTTTTTTTCTTTTGTGCAATCCACAGACAACACGAGCCAAAAGATGTGGGATCTTACAGTTACAGAATGTCCTCCTGGAACAGTATTATTGGTTCTCTAGCATTCTTGCTAGAAAGGCGAACACTTAATCTAAAATCAAACAACTTTAAGTCAGTCCAGATAGCCAGATATTTTACAGAAAGTTGTAGTTAATAAGCTTTGGTCTGCTTCGGCTTAGGTCTACCTGACTTGAGGCTGAGGGAAGCCAAAACTGTCAGGTTCGGATCAGTCTCTCATGGTCTTGTTAGGGCTTCAACTTAATACCCACACAGACCTCTATCAAAAGCCATACATAAAGTAACAGTTATGAGGTTTCTGTATACCGTAACAGTTATGAGGTTACTGTATACCAAAGGTACAGACTTCTTTACTGGCAATGATGGATGACCACATTAGTGAACTCTCTCATGATTTGTAAGTCTGTTTCTTGTAACTGGAATTAATTGGTTTTATAAAATCCAGCAAGCTATTAATAGACCTTTAATTACAGTCAACCCATGACAGACAGACTCTCCAGTGTTATCATTTGCAGTTTCTCTTAATCCGCATCATAAAAAGTGTTTGACTTGTATGCCTGACAAACTGCAATTTAGACCCACTAATTTGTTAGTTTCTAAGTGCATATATTTAATAGTCTATTTATTTTGGGTGAATGCAAAAGTCCCCTTTCAAAAATATTCCTTGTATCCAAGAGAGGCCTGTTGATATGCACTACCATGCCTCATTCGGCATCATAAACCATCCTCTCTTTCCTATATTAATGTGTTATTACATATTTTGGCAGAGCCCATGTGCTCTGAGGGTTGTGGGCTAGGGGTTAGAGCACTGTCTGTCTCTGGGCAGGCTCCTCCTCACCCTGATGGGGTAATCCCCTCTATGGCGGATGGCAGTAAATTCTTCCCCTCCCACAATCCCTCTGTTGGTCAGAATTCCGGCTCGTTTGTGGCCAATCTGATATGTGTTACGAAACTGCAAAATGACTGTTTGCTTCCAAACCGGGGAAGCCATTAGTATAGGAAAACAAACTGGAGAAATGAGATCAAAGGTCACTGTAGATATATGTTTATATATGAGAGATGCATCAATACTATAGAATTGTTTATGGTGGATCAGCAGGTATTCGAATCTGGCCTTCTCATGTACTGTACACGTACAGAGTTTATTTGACATTTCAGACACTGAAATGTTTGAAAGTATATTTGGTTGAGTAACTAAACTTAAAAGGTCAACATATTTGAGTTACAATCGAATAGGAAACAGATCAGCTATACTAAATCTGCTGTACGGCTAAGCAGTTATTTGTATATAATCTTCTTTTAAAATGAGCTTTCATCTGTTAAAACAGTTGTGTGTTGCCCTAAAGCAGTGTTTCCCAAATGGGGGTTCATGAGGGAACTGCAGGGGGTTTGTAAGATGATGAAAAGCTTAATAATTATAATTATATTAAATAAAAAATAACAGTGCTTTTCATTATTATTATTATTATCAAATATGTATTTTATATATGTTAAAACAGTTAAGACATACTACTATGTCTACTATTATAATCGACATCAGAGCACCAAATGTGTTGCTAAATGATTAAAATACTAACTTAAAATCTCAAGTAAACATTTTACATCTAAGGGGTTCAGCTGATTAAAAAAAGTTTGGGAACTCCTGCCCTCAAGAACATCTTGGAAGTAAACGAGGTGGACGGATGAGATGTGTAGTTCCAAAAGGGGGTTTGGACAGCAATGCCATTTTTACTTTCCTAAAAGAACCTTTTTGTTTAGCATGCATGAAGAACAATCTGAAGAACCTTTTTCCTCTACAAAGCATCTTTAGTGCAATGGAAAGGTTCTTTATGGAACCCTTGATGCCAACAAAGAGCTTTCATTTGTAAGAGTAGATGCTAGAATCATAGAAAAGTCAGTAGTCTCACATACAAAGGCTTGACATATCACAGACGTTTAAATGCATTTATAAAATATTTCTGACAGTAAACTTATATTTGGTTGAATAAAAGGCCAACATACACATTATGAAACTTCAGGCTGTCTGTATGGTAGTCTACTCTTAAAACTTAGCATACATACAAAATAAAACTGTATAATTTTACTCTTGCAGGAAATGATGACGCTTGTTGTAATCCCATGATGCACCTCATTGTATGCCTACTTCTGTAGGAAGAAGTAGCATTAGCTAAGGCAGTAGCAAGTATCAAATCGTAGTACATGACTGTGATGTAAACCAGAGGGACAAGCATGCCCCAATATCCAATTTCATTACAAAATACATGCACTCGTCAACTCCTTTTATAGGGTCTTTAAAAATAAAGCTAATTAGAACCAAACAGCATCTTACACCATGATGCCATAGAACATTTTTCCACAAAACCACCTTCATCTCCAGCTCCACAGAAAGCAATCATTATCCTGTGGATTTGAAGAACCGAACACAATACACTGATCTGAAGAACATGATTTCTTAAGAATCATCAAATAAACAAAAGTTATGCAGAACTTTTATTTATGAGTGTATAACAATTTCCAGCTAAAACCTTGTGACTCTGAATGAGTTCTACATTGTCCTTGTTTTATGTGTACTAGGCTACATATGAATTCCAAATTCAGAGCTATTAGATATTTGATTTAAAGGGTTAGTTCACCCAAAAATGAATATCCTGTCACCATCATGTCGTTCCAAACCCGTAAGACCTTCGTTCATCTTCAAAACACAAATATTTTTGAACGACATGAGGGTGAGTAATTAATGACAGAATTTACATTTTTGGGTGAACTAACCCTTTAATAGCTACTCTTATCATTCTCATGCCATCAGCCTGTTCAAAATATCTTCTTACCTGGGAGACACAACAACAAAAAGAAACTGATAAAGTCTGCAAGACATGACTTCTGTGTGCTTCAATGGGCAAAATAAAATGGGGTATAATTTTCTTTGATTACTCATGCACTTGCACTTCTGTGTTTAATCTTTCTCAAAAAAGACTACTGACTATAGTCCTAAATGAATGACTTTGTTAACTGCTCAGTATTAAACCAGTGAACAAATTCTCTTTAGCCCTGAGGCGGCTCCTTTAACAAGACTGCAAGTAATGATTGCGCATTCTGCATGCCTAAAAAGTGAAATCATCATACTCACAATATCAGTATAGGTCATGCACAACTTGGTCAATATAACTGTTCAATCTTTAGATAATGTTTTGAGCTTTTTATGAGGTTTTTAATAGCATATCATGCAGACACAAAGCCCAGCTCAGTGTGACAACACTACTGACGTCCCTCTGCTCACTGTCAGCAGACTATTCCCCTTTAAACTCATTTGGAAAAAGCTCTAGACAATTAACATTTTGGACTACATATACCCTCTGTGTTGTTCCAGGGAAGGACAGGATGGGAATCTCACTGGCATGCCGCCAATAAGAGAATCCAAAGTTTTTCATATTAGAAATTAACAAAAATGTCAACATTCAAACCTAAGTAAAATTCTTGAGAAGTGGGACAAAACAGGGTGCAAAATTGAAAAAATAAAACCTTGTACTCAGACAAATGAAACTACATTTATGTATCTTATATGTACTAAGCTACTGAGCTATGCTTTGATACAACCTCCCAACCTTTCTCTTTTTTAACAAAATGTGCTTTTTTACCTTGGACTGTGTAATATAATTTCAACTTTATCTTTAACAGCATTCAAGATGTTGTTAACATTTCAAAATGCATTCTCGTGTTAGCAGACAGATTACACTTTCACACGTGACCAACAATTCCACAACAAATATAAAATATCATAATGAAATATTATCAAAATATTCAACTGACGGAGGTGACGGAGGTGACAGAACTGACGGTGGTGACGACACATTTAAGTATTTTGATATATCACTGGAACACAAAATCTTATGTTGGTGACATCGGACGGTGTTGACAAATGTGGCATTTCTTTCACAAAACCAGTGGAGTTCATGTGGTAGCCATTTTATTTGTTTCTGTTGATGCTAGATGCTAATGGAACCTGCTTCAGCAGAATAGAATTATCTAAATATTTCAAATAATTTCCTCAGAAACTGGAAGATGGTGTTGACATATCATGGCTGTGACATCATGACATTTAAAATTGAAAATATTTTTATTTTTAAACCTAATGGCTGGACCTGTTTTGTCCTATGTCTCAAGAATGACTGGTTATATGTGTTATATGTGTAACACATCAAATATACATGTTGTTTTACTATATTTTAGCCAGTATGTTAAGACATGATTGGAACGTATTAATTTACTGCATTTTAAGCAAGACTATTTTATTGTTTTAATTCTAGTACACTATATATATTTAACAGGAACTATTCTTAATATGGTCATTTTTGTAAGAAACCTCACTTGTAGTTTTACAGTCGGAAAAAGAGTCAAATAAAACGTGCCCAAGGGAAAGTAGCTCACTGACCTTTTGTACACGACACGACCCAAATAACAGAAACCGTATTCGGTATGATTTAACGTTCAAAAACCTGATCCATGAGCTCGTGGGGACTATTTTAATTGCCGAGGACATCATATAACGTCAGTTTAACCAGTAAAGAGTAAGCAATTATGTGTTAAACGTGCTTGTGTGTGTGTGTGTGTGTGTGTGTGTGTGTGTGTACACACAGCTATGTTGTCGGTAATGCTTTAACCGTGTGTGTGTGCTCCGAGCCGTGTCACGCGCTCGGCTTATTCAACGCACACATTGGGTCGCGCGGGGGTCTGGCCAGAACGCGGAACGCTAGTGGCTGATGACGGGGTGGTGTTGCCCTGGAGTGGGCGGGGTCTGGTTTGAGTGGGCGGAGACTGGGATCCTGACAGCGTCCAGCGCGCAGCAGCACACACATACATATACACACTGACTCACAAATTTACAGTGAATAAGACACGGTTGTTCTGCGCTATAGAGAGGTAAGCGATTAATTTTAACTCTCACTCCTATATGTTTTTGAAACGAGCGTTCACCCAAAAGTTTAATCTGTGAGTGTGCACTGGGAGGAAAAAAAAAAAACGGGTGCCCTAAAGAACTTGTGAGTAAATAAAACCAGTGGGCGAGAGAGGGCTGAGAGGTGTGGCTTCTATTCTAGAATCATAGAGAGTAAAGGAAACTTCAGTGTTGCAGCATTAGAACCACCAAATACTGTAGAGCAATAATTCACAGCTTAATATTTAGGCTGTAAAATGTTTTGTCAGATTGGCTTCACGTGGGTATCATCTAAAATAAATGGTATTATTGGTCTTATTCATTCAATTCAAAACCTGAACAGAATGATTCAGTATGACTAAATCTTACTACTAAAAAAAAGCAAAGAAAAAAAAACGATCGGGTAAAAATACATTCTTAAAGTAAAGCTGTCTGTTACCTCTTTATCACAATATACAAATGTGACATGCAAAAACAACGCACCACCGAAAACAGAAAATAGCAGCAGAAGATCCTAGTAACTAGATAAGTCTGACATGTACAATGTGAACATTTAGGGGAGTGATGTAAGCATTGTACAATAAACTGTACAATAAAAGCTGTTCATTGGTTAACTGCATGTAATTACCTTAGTAAATGTGGTAAAACTATATTTTTTAAATACAATTTACAATATTTTTATGCATATTTAGCCATGTAATGTATGTATTTTTGTGATAAAACATTGCACTAAAATTATGTTTTAAAATGTATGAAATCCCTTGCCCCTCCCTGTATGAAAAATACACCATATGTTTTTATCATTGCATTTTAGAGTGACAGAGATATTTATGAATCCTAACATAACAATTTAATTGTATTGTAATTCCAAATTAATTTAATCACATATACAGTACATTTAGAAAGTGGAAAATATGTAGTCACCAAAATGTCATTCTCTAATACTTTGGAATCCACAGCTGCTAGTTTCTATCATAAATGTAACAAAAATACAGTAGGCCTAGTTGTGTTTGTATAATGACATACATCTTCCAGAGGGTCAATCTGGAAATAAAGGGATCGTTCACCCAAAAATGAAATAATTTACTCACCCTCATGTCATTCCAAAACTGTGTGACTTTCTTTCTTCTGTGGAGCATAAAAGAAAATGTTTTGAGAAATATCTTAGTGATTTTTTTTTTGTCCATACAACACAAATCAATGGACACCAAATTGGTTTTGTTACCACATCTTTAAAATAGCTAACCTTTTTTGTGTACCATAGAAGAAAGGAAGTCATGTAGGTTTGGTACAACACGAGGGTGAGTCAATGATGACAGACAGTTAATTTCTGGGTGAACTATTCTCTTAAACAGCTCTGATTATGTGACTGTTTACGTCAGCCATGTCAAAATGTGTAACTGGGCGAACGAGACATGAGACGTGCGGATCCATCTGCAGGCTTTTATTAGACAGAGACGTGGTCATAACAGGCATGGGTCAAACAATGGCAAATGGGTATATTGAGGACAAGACACAAGAGTAGTCCAATAAATGGGCGTGGCCGATCTCCGGCGAACATAATCCTGAGGGCGAGGCAAACGGGGAATCCACAAGACGAGCTAGAGTCCAGGCAAGGTGCAAACACAGTCCGAAACAGCAAGGCAAAGGGGTAATTCCAAAACAGGCTATAAACTTCAGGGCAGGCAGAGATCAGACAAAATGAGAGAACAGGCAAGGATAAAGACACGGGTAAACAGACTAAGAACAAGGCTATACTAGATTAAGAAACTTGGAATGGCTCCGTAAAGTAGCTATCGCTATGAGAGAGATATGCGCTAAACAATACTCGGCGTTGAATGGTGGTGTGAGACTGATTTATATAGTGTGTGTTATTGGTAGCAGCTGTGTGTGATTGGTTTCAGGTGAGCTTGTGATTAGTGCAATGGAGCATGGGAAATGTAGTCCAGGGTGATGTGTAACAGTCTGTGTAGTGTGAGAGTCCATGTAGAGAGCAGGTGACCTCTGGTGGTGAGTGAACGGAAGTTTATAGACCGGATTCGTGACAAAATGTTTAGTTAAATCAGGACAGTTTGCACTTTCATTTATAGTTGACATCAATTTTGATGACAGATGTTACTGGTGGGATTAAAAAAAACATAAGGTTTTGTAGTTCGCCAGCTGAGGAATACCACAAGGTACTGTTCTAGGTCCTATTTCATTCTCGGGAGATTCCTTCACTGACAGGCTGAGGCTGAAGACACGATTTAGTCGGAGGATGTTGAAGCTTTTAAGGGTGGGGCTATTGTAAGAGGAGGAGTTGTTTGGTGTGTATTGGAGAGAGTCAGCTGAGAGATACATTGTGGACACTTGCATTGGGATATTAGAGATCTTGAAGCAGAAGCAGTAATGGTGAAGCAGTCTTGTAATACTGTGTGCATTTAGCTCTCTGTAACCGGACAAACGCAGGGCTTTACACACACCAGACACCGGTGAGTTCTGGTTCATCAATGCTTTTAAATGAGTCCACAATGATTTAAACTCCCATTTAAAGAGCATGACAAAGTTAAAAATATTTGAGTGGTGATTCATGCACGATGTAGTGCTGAAGGAGTGTGGAAGGGAGGGTAGTGTGTTTAAATAAAAGTTGGGAAGGTTCTCAGCTTATTATTTATAAATTAATACAAAAGATGTATGGGTATGTAATGTAGAAACATGATGTTATTTCCATCCTCATGGATACTGACATGTATTTAATTTCTGGCAAGCTTTATGAGGTAAGTTGTGAAAAAAAAGGTGAGCTGCTTCCTTAAATGTAAAACCTAAATACCCCTAAATTATATTCTCGTTACTGAATGTCTTACATATTATTTTGATCTTTGCTATCACATATACTATACTTGCTTAGTTAATTGCTTGAACATAACTTTAAATAGGCAATATAATGATTACTCATTAAAGGGATAATTCGCCCCAAAATTATAGATAGATAGATAGATAGATAGATAGATAGATAGATAGATAGATAGATAGAAAAAAAACAATTGTTCACCCTTATTCATTTTCAAAACACAAAAATATTTTTACTAAATTCTGAGATATTTTTGTCCATATTTTCACAAATAGAGCACATCAAATATGATAAGTTCTTCCAGACATTCTTGATGTTCAAGAAGAAGTCACATTGGTTTATGTGGGCCACACAAGTGCATTTCAGTTACTGTATACTATATTTGATCAGCCCCATGTTCAGTGTTATACTGTATGTGAATAAAAGCCTAAATTAAATCTGTTCATCATACAAAGCATTTGTTTCTCTTTAGAAGACTTGGATTAAACCAGTTGATTCATATTGTTATTCATACTATAATGTCTTTATAAACTTGTAGTGTTTTGGTGGAATGGACTTTCAGTGGAGGTACAGTAATCTCTCAGGTTTCATTAAAAATATTCTCATTCATGTTTCGAAGATGAACAAAAGTCTTATGGGTTGGGAATGACATGAGTAAATGATGACAGAATGGTAATTTTTCAGTGAACTGATAGCACATGCTGTTGATGAATATATTACTCTGCTATCACAATTATACTGTATCATGGACACAGTAATGTTAAGAATGACCATTTGTTGTTGGGTGGTATCCAGGAGATTCCTGTTAAAGTATTATGGAACTTTGTATCTGTAAGGTCTCTGTATGAATTTTGAGGTTCTAGCACGCTGTTGCAGACACTAGTTTGATGAATGAAGGCAATTTCAAGTGCAGCCTAAAGAAAAACCACATACTTCAGTGTCCTGCTAGCGATATTACATATTATGATAATGGAAAATATTCCATTCAGATGGTTTGGCATCTTGTTTTCATGATTCAGGTCTGTATATTAAATGTCAGAGTGGTCAAATACAGGTAGCATTCAGAACTTAGGTTCTGAATAGTAATTTTACCACTTTTTCATTTAATACTTTAACAAATTCCATTATATGGACAAAACAGTCTTGACTTAAACCAACCCACAAGATGCTTGCTGCAGAGGGAATTGATCATGAGCCTCATGGCCGTAACTTTCAATGGTCGGTGGAATCCATGGACACATTCCATTCTATCTTGCGTCATTTTGCTATCATTCATAGTTTCCTATACAGTGTTAATACCCCCTGGACCGAGGCGGGCTCGTGACACTATAGACCTGAGCCTGGACACCACAGTTCAGCCAGTGGAAATCCCTGCTGTTCATTCATTCAGCTCTTATGTACGTTGAGTTAGTGACTCATAAGTGATGATTATGGGTACTGTGGTCAGAGCGAACTGTCCTAGAGCTTAATGACCCTACCAGGCCCGGTTCCAGAACCAAATCACTGAGGGTGCTTCTGAAAACAGTGAGGGTGCTCACAAATCCTAATTTTCAACTGTATGAAAATAGTAACACCAAATAGGGCTTAATTTCAACGATGTGCGACTACTGTATGCGCATTTAGACTGCACGTTTTACTGCGTGATAGCAAGATATGGGGGTAAAATATCCCCCCCCCCGTATATATTTTTTTCTTTTATATACCATATAGTTTAGCTATATCACACGAAGAGTGCTGCTTTTTCCCCAGATATCAGCACGACTGCAAATGTAATGATCATTTTATACTGCATTTGAATAAACAAGAAGTTAATATTAAGTAACTTAAAGACACAATAGGCTACTGCCTTTTTTGTTCTATTTCGCCAACGAAAATAGTTCCAAACAAAGCCACAGCAGAACTGCTTTGCCTCTCTAAACAACACACAGCGGTCAATCTTTTCTGAATAAATTAGCCCTTTTGAAGGAATCAGTTAATTGGATGACTCAATGAATCACTCATTAATAGTGACTTGCTGCCACCTAGTGATGGTTTTTGTTTCCCATTTAAATCTTTTCATTTTTAAAAATAATTTCATATTAGTATTCAATGTATTATTTTAAAAATATCATTAAAAACATGACTGCAGATTAAATGCATTTATGACAAATGACGACT